GTAGGGAAAAAAGCTGTCGTCTGTTAGAGCATTTGTGATAGGGAGTAACACTTTACAGAAAGTAAGGTGTCTCCTGCTTTTAAGCACACAGTTGCTAGCTGCTTCCTTTAACAAAAATAATTTTAAAAGGTATAATTCTGACAGATGGGATGAGAAACATCTAAGTAGCATGGCAGAGCATGGTGCAGATGTAATCTGACCTGTAGATGTTCATATGTTTACTATTTGCAGTACAATTTAACTTCGAGGAAACAGTAAGAATCCAAATTCTCTTCCCTTTGAACAAAATTTTGTGACCTTTTACTTTTCAGTTCTGCTCCTCCAAGTGAAAAATTGGCAGACTTTCTTCTTACACCATCCCAGAGGATTGCAAAGAAGCACTTGTCTTTTTAATAGACACAGTAGCATGGCAGTGGTAGCTGCACTAATGTAACAGAGTAGTTTTTGTAAGCACAGTTCTGATTTTTTTCTGTTTGCTGTTTGAGGTGTTTGATGTCCAGCTACAAAGCCTATCAGAGTCTGGAGCTTGCTGTTCAACATTAGGAGTCATCTTTCCCAACACATCAGCCTTGCAGTTCAAAGCAGCTGAGCTCTGAAGCTTGCACTGTGAGAGAGCAGAGTTCCTCACAGGTCACTGCCCCGTAAAGAGCTTCTCTCTGGTGGTCCTGTAGCATTAGAGCAAGCTGAGCTTTCTGGTTCAAATTTTCTTTCTTTTGTTTGGAGGAAACAATGCAGAAGGGTGTATTGGTCCAGCAAGGGATTACAGCTTTCCTGTTGATCAGCTGTTTTAGACTATGTTGGAGAGATTCTTTTAATTCACAAAACAAATGTATTCTTCAAGTAAGACCATTTTGTAACTCAATTTTCCAGTAGCAAAGAGTATTTTGTACAGTAATACCATTCAGTGCATCTCCAGCAGGAGTGTAACTTTGAAGGGGATGCTCCCAGTACCCCCACTTACTATGCACTTGTTGAGTTTGTGGGTCACCTGTAGCTCTCAGGGAAGACAGGCCTTTCAGAAGAAATAACACCAGAATCTCCACTCTGGACATGCAGCAAATGTGCTCCAAGGAGTCTAAACTGGTCTTTCAGACCGTGTGGGTATACTGGGGGAATGAGACAAAGACAACGTTTAGCCTAAAGGACAAAAATAAATCTGTTCTGCAGAATAAATCCTGAACAGATTCTGAATAGCTTATAGGGTTTTGATGTGTGAGCCTCAGCAACAGGTACTTCCATCTACTGTTCAGCTCCCTATTCAACTAAATTATCGGCTAAAGAAGATATAGCTGCAATGTGACACACTTTATTCCTCCTAGTAGGACTTCATGAATGGATATTTTGCTTGACAATCAGCATATATGTCTAAAAAAAAAGAAAGAACTTATCAAATCTCCTCTGTTTTCCTTAAATAGTGATGATAAAAGATATTGTTTCATTACAGCAAGGTCTGTATTATTTACTTGGGAGAAAAAAGCTGTAAGGAACAAGAGCTGCAACCTCTTCATAAGACCACACCCTTGAGACTCCTTTATAAATTTACTTTTACCTCACCTTCCAGTGTGTTTGAGGCATAATTGCTATGATTTTTCCAATCTGAAGATTCTTAAACTGCATTTTACTGTCTTGGAAAACAACTGCTACACAAAATACCTGTTTTTTCAAGATTTAAACTGCAAGTGCTGAAGTCAATACAAGAGAAATTTGTATTGTAATGAAGTCCTGTAGAGTTAAAGGGTAATGACACAAGATTCACTTGCATTTACATTTTGAAAGTCTTAGGTGTAAATACATCTGAGCTAAAATAGCAGTATTCCATGGGAGGATTATAAAGATTGTTAGAGGTATGAATGAGTAAGCACGGGTAGCGGGATGACAGGCAGAAAACCGATCATTAGATCCCCAAGTCACTCAGCCAACACCTTTAACACTGAAGTAGTTACAAAAAGTTAAGGCTGCTTTTCTGTATGTAAGTAAAATTGCGCTATTACCAGCCCAGCTTGATGTTCTGAGCAATGTGTCCTAGACTGAGTCATGAGTGAGCCTTCTTTTAGCCTCATGTTTCTCCTAGATATCTTCCATTTAAACTCTGTCCTTAGCTTAGGCCATTAATTACGTGCAATTGTACTAGGAAGTCATAGCATAGCTATGGGAGGTGTATTTTGAATGGGGATGTAGTACATGGGCTGTTGCAAAGAGTTCACATTTCAGGCCTGGAGCATGTTCTCTAGACAATCTGCTATCTCACCTGAAAATGGATTTACTTTCATTAATTTCTGTAAAATTGCTAGGAGCTTTTTGGAAGCCTGCTCCTGCGCCACTTGTGTTGTTTTCAAACTGTCAGTCTCACCTTCTACCTTTAATTTGATTAAGTGTCTTCATAGGCTGACACTCACAGTACTGAGAGAAAAATCAAAGTGTTGTCACTCCATTAAAAGCTGAAGGAACTTGTTTTCCTCTAAACATAGGGATATTTCCCTCAGAAAACCGTTGGTCTACTGTAAATATAGAAGATGGAGGAAGGGAGAGTTTGGGGAGATAGCACTTTATGGAGGGCGGCTGGCTTTTTTTGCAGTTTTTTTTCATTTTTCATTGTTGTTTATGAGGTGGTTTTTGAGGGAAAAGCAAAGAATAAAACTGCTTTGCTTTTGGAAAACATGAACTTTGTAGGATTTTGTTGCTGGTTGCATTTCTTTCAGTCTAATAATGACCCAGAAACTAAGTTATCGTTTAACTTTTATGATCTTCCTGGTTGGTACGTAACCTAATCCTCACTCCTTGTGTACTCTTTGAAGAACAGTAATTTACTGAAGTTCTCTGCAACACATTGAAACACTATAGAAAAAAAAAAAGGCAGTATTTTGAAATTTTTTTATGAGGAATTGTCAATTAGTCTTGATAGGTTCAACATTCAGCCAGAGATTGGCTTTCAAGGTTTAAGAGATGTAAGGCAGATGAAAGCACTCTTTTGGCAGAATGGAATTAAAAAGAAATCCTTTAGGACTCGGTTACCCTTAAATAAAAAATTATTCATGCCTTTCTTAATGTTTGATTGTATTGTGTACAATAGTACAGATTATTTTTCTTGAACAACTATGAATTGATTTATTAACTATTTAATTTGTTATTTCACAGTAAAATGTCATTATCAATCTATCCTGCTTTACACAGCTTAGCAATCATATAGCTGAAAGAGAGATGATGACCAGTAAGAACTGTATTCTTTATCATCTCTTTTATTTTAAATTCAGTCACCTGCAGATCGGTGCAAGAAAATCCATGCTGGGGATGAAGTGATTCAAGTTAACCACCAAACTGTGGTATGTATAACTATGTTCTGTGTCAATTGGAGATGGAGGTGTCATGACACATCAGCATGTGTAGAGAAGAAATGTGTAGAAGAATGTGTTTTTATAAATGATTTTTTATTCTAACATATAAATTTTCATTTTCTCTTTTGAAACCACATAGTTCTTTAGCTTAGCACCAATCCTCTGAGTATCACTGGAGGTATTGAATTAGACTAAATAGCTGTGGCTTGGGCAGTATGTGAGGGTATTGTCTGCTTGCCCATGCTTTATTAATAAACAGATGTAATAGGAGGGCTGGGTCAAAGGGATGTAGGGAGCTGGTAATGTTGTGCCCATGTGGTTTTAAGATCAAGAGTACTTCCTTGAACCTGGAAAACTTAGTACTTTCCAAACGTGCTGTTTCGAGAACAAAAGCACCTAAAATTCCCGAGTGTACCTCGGGGGTTTAGCTTAATTTAAGTATGGATTTTTAAACCTGGGAAGTTAAGGTGAAACAAATCTTTCAGATGTGATAAGCAAGAAGACTAATCCCATGCACACTACTTTTTCTGTGGGCAGATGCATGTTGGTTCCTGGTGATTTTATTTACATTGGTGAACTATTAAAATAAAATTTCCTTTTTTAAGATAAGGCTTGATAGCATAAAAGAGCAGACAGTCAGTATAGAAAGCAGCTATTCTTTTTCCAAAGTATAAGTTTTCTTATAAGTAGCGTGTCCTTCCAAACAATTTAACTGACAAAAAATGTCCTATATTGCCATTTTTAATACAGCAGTCATTTGTTAAAAGTATATTTTGTCAATCTCCATGGGGTTCCACTTTTAGCTTTAGGCCATTGTACATCATGTCATCTACTCTGCACAAATTCTTGTAATATTTTAGTATGGCCTCCAGCTAAGTTTGATATCAAATATACTCTGCATATGTGGAACTTAACTCATGAGAAGCTACCTTTTGAACTATGCAATGTAATTTGATAAATCTATGCAAATCAGGATGGTTTTTAATACTTATTTTGTCCATACATTCTTCATAAGTATTGTATGCCATGATAACTTACATGTACAGTTGATGACAAATTTCTTTATTTTTCTGCATTAAGAAAGCTTATGACATCAATATGCATAACACTTTAGAACATTATTATTTTGGCTGTCAAAATGCATATACATCTGAAGAAACACATCAACAAGCATTCCATCCTTATGCTAGCTAGTTTTTCTGACAAATTCTGATGCTGCTATGTAGCAAAGTTGCCTTGTCAACTTGAAAATTTCCAACCAAGTAGGTTTTTATTCTACTCTGCGTTTATTTGATGAAAAGATCAGATTCTGACTTGTAACACTAATAATAATAATGTTTTGACAGACCTCAAAATGAGCTTTCTTACCTAGCTGGATGGAATTTTGAAAGTAGGATTTGGGTGTTTTGGCTTTTGTATCAGTGCAGCTAGGTATTTTGAGATGTACAGAAGAAAAAAGAGTTGACTGTAGTTCTACGAAAATGGACCATAGGGAGCTAAGATAAACTTGATTTTTTTTCAGCAGTAGCATTTGGTGTGGAGGATATGTATAGTAAGACTAAATCACACATTTCTATATGCTCTTGCTGTGTTGTATCAACAATATAATTAAAACAATTGGTGTCATTGATATTATATACAAGTAACGTCCTTGTGTTTTAATGTCATAAATTCATAGAATGGTTAAGGTTGGAAGCGACCTTGAAGATCATCTAGTTCCAACCCCTCTGTTGTGGGCAGGGACACCTCTCTCCCACTAGACCGGGTTGCTTGAAGCCCCATCCAGCCTGGCCTTGAAAACTTCCAGGGATGGGGCATCCACAACCTCCTTGGGCAACCTGTGCCAGTGCTTCACCACTCTCATGGGGAAGAATTTTTTCCTTTTATCTAACCTGAATCTACCATCTTTCAGTTTCAGGCCATTGCCCCTTGTCCTATCACGCCAGACCCTTGTAAAAAGCCCTTCTCCAGCTTTCCTGTAGGCCACTTTCATGTACTGGAAGGCTGCTATTAGGTCATCCTGGAGCCTCCTCCAAGCTGAATAACCCCAGCTCCCTCAGCCTGTCCTCATAGCAGAGGTTCTCCAGCCCTCTAATCAACTTTGTGGCTCTCCTCTGGATCCACTCCAGCAGGTCCATGTCCTTTTTGTACTGTGGGCTCCAGAAATGGAGACAGTACTCCAGGGGGGGCCTCACCAGAGAAGAGTAGAGGGGGAGAATCACCTCAACCTGCTCGGCACACTCCTTTTGATGCCGTCCGGGACACGATTTGCTTTTTGGACTGCAAGTGAAGTGCATGTCGCTTTTCCACAGTGAGAGTCAGCTAGGATCCTCTTAGCAATGTGGTATCACTTCCCTTGTTATCTCTACAAAGGTGCACTTGATTTCTTTCCAATGTATAGAGTCCAAATAGTCAATCTTTTCTATAGATACTACAATGGTTCCTTAATCTTTTTATTTATTTTGGCAAGAGTATAAGTCACTCGTTTTGTATTCTGGCCCTCATCAGGAATTTTCTGTCCAGATCAAGGAATTTGTTTTTCTGGAGAGAAGAGGTATTATTCTTTACAGTGATTCTTACTTCAGACATAAATATTTCTGAAGATATTATATCTTGGCTTTTCTATTTATTGAGTTTTTTCACACTTCATATGCTGCTTACAAGTTGAAAACACAGGATCTATTTTTCAACTTGCAACTTATCATACATTATCATTTATATTGACTACAGAAATAGCTACAAGTACATTCTTTTAAGATCTAACTCTAAAGCTGTAGGAAATTATTGTTCACCTGTAACTTAGTTAAAAGATGTCTCCATTGGAGAATCAAAATCTAAAAAACCCCTATCTTTAAATTTAATTTTATTTTGGCATTAAAACTTTTTTTCTGCATTTTTGTTCAGTTATTTCAGTGTATTCTGTTTGTCAGAGTCAAATTGATACCTAGCTTTCATTACTTTATATTTTAAAGAGTGAATATAAATGTGGGCAAGAGAAGTTTCACACAGTTATTTTAAAAATTCAACTCGTTAGCTAACACTTTTTATAAGAATTACATTTTCATAATTATGAAAAGACTGCTCTTTCAGAAAGCCCCTTGGCTTTCATATAAACAGCATGACAGGAGAATAGTTAAGACTTATATTGATTTTATTACACATGTCCTAATACTGGGTGTCACTTGGTTTTAAATTCTCTATTGACATCCCCTGTTTGCTTGTAGTGATGCTTAATCTTCATAGTATTTTATTTGGCAGTGAAATCAAAGGATTTCAAATTATTACCCTAATCTTCTGCTATGTTGATAGAAAACATGCATAACAGGATGTATTCCACTTGTTGCTGGCAGGGTGTCTGGAATGTAAATATCTTCTAATTTTTTTAAGTAAAAAATAATAAGATTAAGCTTAAATTCAGTGCAAAGTCAATGTTCACAAAATTGTCCTTTAAATTGAAGCTTGTTGAGGTTAGATAGCTATGTGAATCTTCTATGTCAGTTTTGCCTTACAGAATAGATTTTTTTTTAATAGCTCTGTAACTAAGAGGCGTGACTCCTCCATTAAAATTCAAAGGATTTAGGCACTGTCTTCTCCTAAACTTCCCTGTGAATTACATCCTTAATCTCCTCTAAAAGCCTATCTGTCTAAAGTATTTCAAATGTAAACAAAAAAAAAGTCATTCAAGCGATTCAGAATTTGTACTGTACTTCAGTACTCATGTTTCTGCCCATACATAATTCGAGAGTGTGTTTTGCCTCAAGATAGTCCTCCTTTTAACTGATTGAAAGTGCAGGAAACAATATTATTACTTAACATGAATTATTACTGTTCACAGTGGTCTTCCTGGCTGCATCAGTGATAAAGCAGTCAAGAAAATACTCCAAGCAGAAAACAGGGAGGTGTAGACTCAGGATGAGGCAGGATTCTTGAATAGCAGGCTGTTCTTCTGTAATCTATGCATAGTTTCTTTATTTTGGAGGTATATTTGGCACATTGCATATACTTCTAATACAAATATGATAAAACGTGATAGACGTGGGCTTTTTAGGATGTCGGGTAGTGATAGAACTAGAGGGAATGGATTAAACCTAGAGATGGATCGGTTTAGGTTGGACATTAGGAAGGAGTTCTTCATCATGGGGGTGGTGAGACACTGGCACAGGTTGCCCAGAGAGGGGGTGGCAGCCCCATCCCTGGAAGTTTTTAAGGCCAGGCTGGATGGGGCTCTGAGCAGCCTGATCTAGTGGGGGGTGTCCCTGCCCACGACAGGGGGGGTTGGAACTACTTTAAAGTCCGTTACAACCCTGACAGTTCTACGATTCCCAAAATTTGCATTTGTTGGTTAGAACTCATCAGAATGTATGTAACCAAAGATGATGGGAAAATATGTTTAATTTGGCGAAGTAGGTAAATATGGTCAGTTTTTAATCTGTTTCATGTAGAAGCTGGAATACTTAATGTCTTTAACACCTATAAGTTACCATTTTTTGGAATTACTTAGTATGTAGATAACACCTAGCCTTTATATGGCACATTATTACTGTGAAAATTTCTGTGGGGTCTTGTGGGCCAAGGCAAAATAACAGAATAGAGTTGCCAGGATTCTTTTTGTATTTATGGTACAAAAACTTTGAAAAGATTTTGCTAAAATTCCTCTGAAATGGTGGATACCTTTTAAGATCATACCTTGCTTTTCTGCAGAGGTAAATGCTTAAGAAGCGTATGATACCTTTCTTACCCGAACTTAATCTTTGCTTAGAAAAAGTAAGAAATAAGTTTTTAAGATTCACTGTGCAATTAATAAGAAGAGTTCGACTTCCACAGAACCTTTCTGGATTGGTGGGGAACTGACAAATTACAGCTGATAGGAAATGCTGAACTTGGGGTGCATATGAATTCTGGAGTATATACATCCAAAATTGAGTTTGCAGTAGATGTCTTCTTATTTTTGAGAAAAATTAAACACCTCTAAGTAGAAGAATGATGTT